CCTGAGGCTGGCGAGGGCAGCGGGGCCCCTGCGCCCCTGGCGTCTGTCCCCCCGGGTCGCCCACGTTCCTGCTGTCAGTCCAGCCATCGCTGAAGTCCCTACCTGCTTGGGGGCTAACCTGCACCTGGGATGCGGCTGGCTGAGGGGAAATGCAGTTAGCGCTGTGGCTGAGGAAGGTGTCTATGGGTAAGGAGGAAGAGGAGGAAGGTTTAAATGAAGGTGCAGTGGTCAGTATGGGACTGCGGTACCTGGGAAGAGGGATTGCTGGAGAGGAGGGGACTTTCTCCCCTAAGGCAGAGGAGGTAGGGGATTGCAGTAGGAAGAGAGGCTGTCAGCCTGGGTTTCTGAAGAGGCCATGCCGTGGGCTGGCCCAGATCTCTGCTAGGAATGTCTAGCCAACACAACAGTCGCTCCATGATAAGTTTGAATGACCTGCTTGGTGGCCTTCTGCTGAACTTGCTCAGCAGACATTGATCATATTGATGTCTTTCCTGGGGCCCAAACCTGGACATGAAGTCTAGGTGTGGTCTAAGATACTTGTGTTGAGCTCATCCTGCACCCCCAGGCATGGCAAGGGCATTTCCTTTCCTTCCTTCCGTTGTGTGCGTGGCTGTTCTGGCTGCTTGGCGTCCCAGCCTTGAAGTACGACTCAGTGCTGGTGGCTGTGGTGTGGGGCAACAGGTCTTGGTCCTGGCTTTAAGAACAGGAAGGACTGATTTGGGCAAGCAACAATAATCCTATTTCTTTGAACACTTACCTTGTTATCTTGGATTTTTCATGCAACACCAGTGGTTTACTGAGTTTGGCTGAAAGTGTTATAAAATACAGGCTCCAGTCCATGCCATGGAGGGGTTTCTCTGTGTTCAGTGGGGCTGCTGAGTTAATCCTGTCCTGAAGCAGAGGTGCAAGGGACCCTTACAGTGCCGCAAGGACGTTTTCTGGGCAGCTAATAGTCTTCCGAGGGGAAGTGTAAGGGGTAAGTGTTCCTGTTGTCCAGACACTGGCCATTCCAGCATGGCAAAAAAAAAACATTCCTGATGGATGGCAATAAGAAGACAACGTCTGGTTGCAGGAAACTTTAGCAAGTGGAGAGCCTATCTGATGAGCACTTGGAAATTGTTGTCTTCCATTAGAAAATTTGGCAATCCTTTGTAAAACTCAGTTAGGTCAGAGGTGATGTTAGGTTGAACATTAGGCTGATTTAGGTGTTCTGTATGGAACGCGCTGCATGTTGTGTTCTTTCCCAAGCAGTGTTTGTCACTGACCTGAATGCTTCCCTGTAACCTCTTGCAGGGTGTGTCTGTGGCTCGTTCTTCTTGCACAGCACAGGAAGGCCCTCTAGAGAAGTTTGAACTTGATGTCCTGGAGTTCCCGTTGCTGACTGCTTCCAAGCTGAGTGAGCTTAATCTCAGAGTTGTGTCCACACAACCAGGTTTTAAGGAACTGCTAGATCCCTCTTCATTCATCTCCCTAGAAACAGCAGTCCCCAGTGTCTGCCCGTTGCTTTCTGCAGTTGGGCAGAGCCACGTGCTCTGGTTCATGGAGAACCTGAGTTAATTCATGGTTAGCCCTGATTCTATGGCAGGGAAAAGGCACCTCTGGTGAGGGCAGAAGGAGTTTGGTGTTGCGATTCTCTGTTTTCCCTCCCTTCTATCATACGTTTTGTGCGGCATCATGCTGTCAGGTTCATCGTGTGCATCTTGTCTAAATGTTAGGTGGTGCTGCAGAAGTGTGAGTGAGAGCAGAGGTGAAGGGCTTTGCTGCCAGGCAGTTCAAAGAGGCGCTTGCTTCCTCTTTACCTAAGCTGAAATTGTTGGTCCTGCTCCCCCTCCCTTCAGACCTATGCCAGGTCTGCCCTGCTACATTGAGTAGGTGGGCTCAGTCTGTTCTGAGTTCTCTCGGGTGGTCAGGACACTGTGGTTTATAAATAAAGTGGTGTAGGCAAGAGCAGCCACTTCGCAATCTCTGTCTCTTGGACTATGAACCTCTCCAGAAGTTGTAAGCTCAGTTCCCAATGGTACCACAGGGTGCTAGACAAGATGTGTCATCTCCTCAGCATATGTTTTCTATAGTGCATGAGACAAGCATGTTGTGCTTATATATTGATGTCTATCTCCCAGATCATCATCAAATGGGTTTCGTTTGCCACAAGTCTTGATTGAGGAATGTGGGCTTAAGCCCCCACCCAGAAACACCCACAGTACCTGAGCTACCCTGTCTTGGCCTGTAATGATGAACGCTTTGATGTGATCTTTCACTTGCTGGATTAATCTTCTAGGTGAGCAGGCAGGATGCACTAACCCGGTGAACTGAGAAGCTAGAAGAACTGGAAACAACTGCTTTACTTTCAGTGCCAGGAATATTTCTTGAGATGGATGCTGTAGTCCTTTGAGTGCAGGCTGCTGCTGTGTCTGCATTTCCTCAATCCTCAGTTGCCAGGTTATGAGCGTGAAGATGTTTGTGCTTTTTGTAGTCAGGAGGTGAACAAACCATTAGTTAATGTTAGGGTGAGCAAATATCTGCATCTGTCCAACCATCAAGTGATGTCCACCTGACATAGGTTTTCTGCATTTGGATTCCTTGGCATTTGGCCCATTAAAGCCAACCACTGTCTGCTTAGATGCCAGGATACTCTTACAGTTGAAGGTCTTTTGGGTCTGGATTGCTGATGTTGGTAATGTGAGGAGAGGAAAACAGGCCAAGCACTCTGTCAAGGGGACAGATGATTTAATTTAAACAAAGATCAGTAATACTTCAACAGAGAAATCAGTATATCCCATTTTGGGGTTTTCATGGGATAACACCTCTGTCTCAGGTGGAGTATGTGGTATTGATCTACAAGGGAAGAGAAAGTGAAATCTTAGTTGTAGCAAAATCAGTCCTATAAAAGCTACAATCTTGCAAAATAAGTGATCCCTGGCGTGTTCCTTCTAATATCTTTGTATTTTCAGTGGTCATACCCATATACCTTGAATTCCTCAGAGAGACTCCAGTCATCAAAATAATGTAACATTATGGAAAACAGTGTAAGAAAATTACAAACCAATCTACAGTGGTTTGTAAAGGCCTATACCAATCCCTATACCCATATTCTACTGCTAAATAGTAATCTGGGGGGTTTACTGGATGAATGAGTTCCCTGTGTGAAGCTTTAAGGGTGTTTCCTCATTATTTCAATGATTTTCCAATACATTTTCTCAGTTGCATCAATGCCCCAGATGAAATCAAGATGTCCCCAAGTAGGAAAATGCTCATGGTAAACGAGATTAGTAATCCGAGGAAGTAGCTTTGCCATGTCTTTTGGATCTGCAAATTTGTCACGTCCACCGCTCCAAACAGCAATTGGTGTGCTTATCTTCTCTATGTTGTACGCAGGAGGAGCAGACTGTAAAAAAGGGAGGTGACCTGAGTGAATGCTGTTGTATCAGAAGTTGTGTTTACAAAAAGGATTCTGTGCAAGCATCTCTCTTTCTTTCCCTTCTGCACTCACTACAATAAAACAGTAAGGATCAGGGCCACCATGTTAGTGTCTATTTCCCCAACCCCATTCCCTGCCTGCCATGAAAAGGAATGATCCATCCTATTCCTGTGTCTTTCTATAATGCATGGCTGAGAGTTGTCCTGCAGTTTGACGCCTGCTCGTGGCCTTCAGGGGTGGGGATATAGAAAGAGCAGTGTCTGTGTTTATCAGGCAAGGACTGCAGAGCTGTTGTTCATGTGTGTCCATTTTTGGCTTGTGTAGGGTCCTCTTCATGCTTTTATGGGGCATGGCGTGAAAGACTGTTAGTTGCATTGTTCCAGTCTTTACTTGACACTGTCTCTCAGGCACAGTGTTGCTACTGACTGAGTAATAGCCAGTGAGGCTCCTTGCCTTGCCTATCATCAGAGCAGAAATCAAAGAAATATGGAAGAGTAGAATGGGGATCTTATGAGCCCTGAGCCAAATGGCTTAATGCAAGATGGTTATTTGTCTATGGGGTGATAAGGGACCATGCAGAAGATGCTTTTAAATTGACCCCTATTATCTAAGGGTGGTTCTGTTATTTTTCTCATTGACTGATTTTTTTGTCAGTTTCCTGACCATTCAAAGTATTAGGAATAAAACACTACCCATTCCAAAATTCAAACTTAAGTATTTAAAGACCACATGTGTGAATGGAAGATGACTGAGAAATCTTTCTCCACCTGTAAAATAATACACCACCCATAAAATAACTTGCCCTGATGCAGAAAAGCTCACTATAAGTCAACTGATCTGATAAAATCTAAACAAATTGTTAGGCAAGTTATCAGTGTTGCAGGAGGAGCGCAGCATTTCTGATTGTTGACTAGGCAGTAACCAAAGCTGCTAGTAACCAAGTTTTGTCTGTTTCCTTGTTTTCTGTAGAGGATACATTAGTTCACAACAGCACTCATCTCTACTGTGCTGTACTGAAGCATCCCTTCTGTTTTATTTTCATGGTAAGTAGCTTCCCAAAATCCAAAATCAAGGTAAGAGATGCAGTCCCACTTTTTTTTTTTTTTTTTTTTCCCAGTGTTTTTTAACTAAAAGGCCGCTTTTGACAATTTT